CCGGGAAAAAGCAAAATGGTTCAGACTTCCAATTTGCTTTTTTCCGGGCCGGGAAAAAGCAAAATGGCTCAGACTTCCAATTTGCTTTTTCCCGGGCCTGGAAAAAGCAAAATGGCTCAGACTTCCAATTTGCAATGGTTCAGATTTCGAATTTGCAGATTCCCAACCCGAGAAAAAGCAAAATGGTTCAGACTTCCAAATTGCTTTATCCCGGGCCGGGAAAAAGCAAAACGGCCAGACTTCCAATTTGCTTTTTCCCGGCCCGGGAAAAAGCAAAATGGTTCAGACTTCGAGTTTGCTTTTTTCCAAACCGGGAAAAAGCAAAATTGTTCAGACTTCCATTTTGCTTTTTGCCGGGCCGGGAAAAAGCAAAATGTATCAGGCTTGCAGTTGGCCTGGAAACAAGCAGCGCCTGTGAGATTCGAGCCCGCAACCTTCTGCTTATGAGCCTGGCACCTTATCCATTAGGCCACAACTCCTTGATTTTCTTTGTAACCCTGATATAAACTGATTTTTCCCAATTTGACTCAGCTTTGAATTTGCTTTTTCCCGGCCTACACTTTCAATTTGCTTTTTTCCGGGCTGGGAAAAAGCAAAATGATCAAGACTTCCGGTTTTTTGGTTGCGCCCAACCCTCCATGAACGAAGAGACGGCTCAGCCAGGCCAGTTTGCTCAGACTTCCAATTTGCTTTTTCCTGGGCCGGGAAAAAGATTTGCTTTTTCCCGGGCTGGGAAAAAGCAAAATGGTCAAGACTTCCAACCAAGCCATTTTGATTGCCCAACCCTCCATGAACAAGAGACGGCTCAGTCAGGCCAGTTTGCTCAGACTTCCAATTTGCTTTTTTCAGGGCCGGGAAAAAGCAAAATGGTTCAGACTTCCAATTTGTTTTTTCCCAGGCCTGGAAAAAGCAAAGGCTCAGACGTCCAATTTGCTCGGCCCGGGAAAAAGCAAAATTGTTTCAGATTTCCAATTTGCTTTTTCCCAACCCGGGAAAAAGCAATCGGAAGAGCAATTGTTCTTGCAGCGTGGCCAGGTCACCAACATGACTTGCGCAGACCTTTCGCAGGACCTTCGCGAACCTTTCGCGACTGCAGTGAGAGCACACTCGAAATCAGCCTTTGAAATTCGATCACTAACAAGGAAGAGGTGGGTTTTTGAACGACGCTCATTTAGTGGCACGGGCAGGGGTAGGTAACAAAAGGACAGTCGATCTCGCTAACTTCTCTAAAATTTATATGTAAGCGACTCGCTTTGCTCATTCTTTAGTATTTGGTGGAAGATAGCCGATGATTAGTTTTCAGGAGCAGTTGTTTTGAACACGGACCTAAATAGTCACTAAAAGCTGCAATATGCACTTGCTGTGCAAACATCGTCATACTCTTTGGGGGGGCAGGGGATGTAAGACTGTAGGTTTGGTCGATTGCTCATTTGCACTAGACGGCTTGCACGTTTTCTTGCGATGGCCAGTGGTAAAGCCTTAGAACGCCCAGCATGTTAGCCTTTCCCTTCCTTCTTGCCCTCACTGCAGCACACTTGCCCCCTGTAGAGCAGGATGCAGTTTTCAAAAAAGTCACGAACCGCATGCGCAAACAAACCGAGGCCCAAAGGCTGCTCCCAACAAAGAAAAGGCACCAGTTGCTCAGGTCACCTTGAATAACTCTTTGTACATCAATGCTTTAAACACAGCCCATGCTCCAGTTGTGCTGGAAGAATGTAGATTGGGACGCAAAATAGGTTGGCCCCTGTGATCGCAAATGGTGAATGCATCAAAGTGGGTCTTCTACACATGGAAATGCATGGCAACCAGCTGAGCATGTTAGCGTTGTCCAAAGGTGTCTACCTACCTGTGCAGTGTTTAACAAGTACAGCAAGCAAATCCAATCAAACCGAATCTTGTTAACTGTAAAGCGCTAGGTCTTCGCCTTTCACCCTGCTTACACCAACTCATGCTTGTCAAATCAAGTCCTCGACCAATCTCCATTGGGGTGGCTCATCTCCACCTGCCATGTCGCGGGTCAACGATCTCAGCCGTGGTTGATGGCGGGAGCAAGCAAACAGCTATATAAAAGCTTTAAGTCTAGTCATTGCACAGTCAATTGCAAACACCATTTTCCAATGCATCCAACAGCAACACAGGTTGTCAACCAAATGGCTCAGATTGCCTGAGCCTTTTAAGGCCAAAGCTAATTGAGCCCTTTAAGACTACCCTGATAAACTTTAGATCTTTGAGGCCAGAACGATTTGTGAGCCTTTAGATTCCTTTGAATGAAGGGCAACTGGTGTTGGAACCTCCTCAAGTCAAAGGCTTGTGGTCCAATAGAGTCAACAGAGTGTGAGCCTTTTCCCGCAGCTGATTGGCTTTGAAGGCTTGCTGTGTATCCACCTGACCGGGGTGGCCTAGGTCAGCCTTCCCCATTGGTTCTGTTGAGGGTTCTGCACAACGCTCTTGGATCCTCAAAAGAGTGCATTATGCTTTACCCTTCAAGGCTCTGTCGACTAACGCCTTCCATCAGGCCGCTTCTTCACGTCTATCTCAAACTGCTGCGAGTTGCCGGCTGCAATCTTACATACAACCTAATTGCGATGGCCTCCAACCTAATACTGTACATCATATCACACAAAAGGAATTGCAATGAACACAACCTTAGTCGAAGCACTGCATAGCAAAGCTATCTGTTGTTGTGTGTGATGTTCTGCAATACTTGGTCCCCTACTTCAGTGAGCCTGATCGACATGCACCGCACGTAGTAGTTGTGAACGCCGGAACTTTAAGTGCCGCGTACAACATGGTGCGACAAACTAACAATGAAAATCAAGGCGAGGGCCGTAAGGGCTCCTTCTTGTTCCCCTCTTGTGCAACAAACTGATTCCGGACCTTCAAGTCGATTGTCAAGTTCTTCTCAAGATCTTAGCCACCGAACGGCTGCTTGCTACTTTTAGATCTCTTAAGGAACAGGACAGTAGTATCCTACAGTACTCTGCTTGAAAGTATCTTCAATAGCCGCCCTTCAATCCCCGCTCGTTCGAGAAGGTAGACCGTCCAATGCAACCTTTGCTGTGCCAAATCCAGTACTTGAACTTGTGACTTGACAACGGAGAAACAAACATAAGGATGAGGAATCAGTCCTCAAGCAGGTTTTGGGTAGGTTGAAGGCCCGCTATTGGGTTGAAGGAAGGCCATCGCTACGTTCGTCTTCTCTGGTTCTCCATAGCTTGAAATTCACAGTTATCACCACATGCCTGACAGTTTTGCAAATTGCGCAGCTGAGGTCAGTTGACTCAGTTGATGTGTTGCAAAGCGTAAGCCTGAAGTAGGCCGATTAACACACCTAGAATGCCGCCCACGAGCAAAAGGATCCACTCGTCATCTTCAAATATGGGATGAACAATGCTTTCAAATTCAGGTGGGGGAATACGTTGTAAACGCCACGTAAGTGTCTCTTGCACATTCATGGCCGTGTCCATGTATTCTTCAATTGCCCGAGAATGCTGTGGAAGGAGCTCAAGCGAAAACTGTTCAACGTCTTGCTTGAGCTCATCCATGCGTGTTTCAACTGTTGGCGCAACCACTGCGACGCGGCTGGCAAAGCCCATGCTGCGCTCAACAGATCTGTCAACATGTTTCCGGTAGATTTGAAGCACCTTCTCAACTCCTGTTGAGCTGGGAGCTTTCATCATGTAATGAAGCATGGCCCGGGCATCCACCACATTTTGGCAGATGAGCTCCGCCATCTTTTGCGAGGCTTCCCTTTGCCGTTTCATGAAGACCCCCTGCACATTGATCCTGCCACCACAGTACTGATGGGGCCAAACAGGGCGAAAAATCATCTTGATGGCAATCCAATTTGTAAAGTAGCCAATGATAAGTCCACTGACCGGAAGCATGACATAGTCCACACCCTGGACCTTCTGCAACATCAAGTACAAAACCACTTGCACCAAGCCCAGCAGAAAACCCATCACAGCAGCAATCCGCTGGATAAAGGTTAACTCGTTCAAAGCAACTGACCGGAACATCTCCACCATCATCCGGGGATTGTTGACAAAGGTGTCCACAGACATCTGTTGCAAATCCAGGATCGAACTAATGTTGTTACGAAGCTCCAACATCCCCGCCCCAAAGCTTTCCTTGGTGTCCTCCAACACCTTCTTCTTCAGCTCGGACTGCACAGACTCAGGCAGGATTTGCCACACAGTTGGCAAATGCTTCAACATTATCTTCTCCAGAACTTGAAAACAAAGTCCACCCATCATTTCTTCCAGGGTGTCAAAGAAGTGCTGAGGTTCAATTCTATCCATGAACTCCTCTACTGTGACAATGTTACCAATCCTGAGGCCAAGGCTCACTGTACAGCATGCTCACATGAATAGAGTGGACTGGACATCTGTGGACTTTAGGAAGCTGTGTCATGTTACATTGTGTAGCCTCCACCCTAATAGCCATGGCCTCCAACCTTCCAGCGATGGCCTTCACCCTAATAGCAGTGGCCTCCACCCTAGAAGCGATGGCCTCCACCGTAGAAGCGATGGCCTCCACCCCAATAGCGATGGCCTCCACCCTACTAGCAATGGCCTCCACCCTACTAGCGATGGCCTCCAACATAGAAGCGATGGCCTCCACCCTAAGAGCGATATAGAGCGATGGCCTCCAACCTTCCAGCGATGGCCTTCACCTAATAGCCATGGCCTCCACCCTACCAGCGATGGCCTCCAACCAAATAGCAATGGCCTCCAACCTACCAGCAATGGCCTCCACCCTAAGAGCGATGTCCTCCAACCTACCCGCCATGGCCTCCACCCTAGAAGCGATGGCATCCACCCTAATAGCGATGGCCTCCAACCTACCAGTGATCGCCTCCAGCCTCGCCCTTTCTTTTGCTTTACACCCTAGACCTGTTTTCAATTCAACGGCTCTCCAACTTTACGTCATATTCAACTGTCTGCAGCCAAGATGCATGCGATCACACGCCCGCCTGGCCATGACTTCAGCCTTTCGTGGCACAATGCCCTGCCAACCATTGATGGGCAACCCAAACCAGCTGGGCACAATGGGCCGCGAGGGGCATCCAACAAATTCAATCGGAAAGAACATCATCTGCAAAGCCAGCCACACATGAAACCAAGTGAAAAGGAGGCATACCAGTGGGACTGACAAGAGCTTCGCCAACGGGATCAGCTCACGCGGTATCCCAATTGAGTTCACCTTGGTCGATGGGTTTCCTGCCAGATTCACCCACGCAATGCCGATCCACAATGCTGTACCCAAAAAAACCACCCAAATGAAAGCCACGAAGGCATAGCGCCGACAGAACTCCACGATCGGGGGGTATACGGTGCGTGCGGGAGGCTCATAGCCTTGGCAGCATTGAAGCGAACTGTCGACATGTAGGATTCCTAATTGCAATGGCCTCCAACCTCATAACGACCTGTCGACATCCACTTGGCATGAGATCTGGAAATTGTCTAATGGGAAACCTGCGCCAACCTTGTTTGACTGCACTTACTTATTGTCTCATGACATAGTTCAACAGTGTTCAAACATCATGTACTAGCTTCTTGTTACTACTAGTAAGGCACTTGTTACTAGAAGCGATGCACTTGTTACTAATAGCTTCTTGTTACTACTAGATTGAAAACATCAAGATTGAGGTCTGGACTGAACCGCTCAGCTCTGGAATGTTGGCCCTGTGGCGTAAGCTGCACACGCAAAGATCTGGCGTCGCTCGCATTCATGGCAAGGTCCGAAAACCTAGATTTGCCTTGCTTTGCGTTTTGTTTTTGATTGAGGCAAATCAATTTTCTTGGTCTTACTATGGTAAAGCACGCTGCCGGTCAGCTTCTGAATATGCGGCACGACCTAAACCATCACGTGTTCTGAATTATGGATCCTACACTTGGGCTGTGTCAGAACTGAAGGCCACGATGCTCGGAGCAATGCAATCATAGCGCACATGCAAATCACAAGGGGCCGCTCTGCTGCACAAAATAATCAGCAAACTTGGACGCGCGACCCGCCCTCAAAAGGCAACTGCGCATCAACTCAAACACACAAAATCACACACAATGCCTGCGTTCATGTTGCTTCCTGTTTATGTGGATGTGTTTAGGTGTGGCGGTTTGTCGGGGAAAGGTAGTATACTCAATAGACCCCACCCAGCTTGGATTTAAAGACTGGACGATCTGGGTGGAGAGCGAGGTACAAGGACCTCTCAGAGAGAAGGAGAGACGGAGGTAGGGAGGGAAGGTGAAAGGGTGACTACCACGTACATGTGGTGGCATAGGGCAAGCAGTGTTTTTACTGCTAAAATGGATTGCGAGTGGGCACATGTTTAGTACCAAGATTGGAGTGTCATACCTTGACTGCTAACAAGAATGCTTTCTGCACTATCCTGCTGCTTTCATCCGCAAGCACCTTGAGTGTGCCAATACAGTCCCAACACAAAAGCATGGCGTTTCATCTCTGAGCGTGGCTGTGACCTTTTCTTCACTTCAGTGGGCAGTGTCAAGCAGTGCCTTCCCAAAGGATGAGGCCAACATCACAGTTTCCGAGAATTCTTCCCACACAACCAATGGGCATTTGCCACTTATATAAACAAGCCAAAAATAAGACCCATGATGTGTTGAGAACTTGATTCGCGTCACAAGCATTGTTGGTCGTGAAAGGCCTTGCAACTTGTAGCATCCGTTTTGCTACACGGCCGAGACAAGTACAGTAACTCATCTCCATCGGTGAAGCAAAAGCCTTTTTTTTGACGGCCAGTTCCAGTTCATGCTGGTTCGAGGTGTTTAGAGTCCGTCTAGAACACCGGGTCGCATGAAGGCATCAGGGGGTGATAAGTGGCCTTGCTTACACCAAGCTCCCTTGAAACTCTGCAACAAGGGGCGCTCAAAAAGGTCGCCAGCTCACAAATGCTCACAATATGTCACGAAGCTGGCCTTAGAAACATGGAAATCAACATTTCTACGCGATACAAGCTGAACATTTCAACAGTCAAGAAGGTCCCGGCCGCATCCAAGTTCCTGCAATCGAACCCATGCCTGGCTCTGTCGTCAAAGAATCTCCCTTGGTTCTAGCACATGGCAATTGATGCTGCGTGTGCCCTGCAAGCTTGGGATGGCTCTCCAGCAGCGCATGTGAGCCAGTGTCGCACCGTGTCGCACCTCCTTGAAATCCTCGAAGAAAGCGTTCTGATCGTTGGCATACTGGACAGCCTGTGTCGGCGAGGCCAGGTGGAAAGGCTTCAGGCGAGCTCTCTCTCTCTCTCTCTCTGGAAGTTTCTCTATTCGAGCTCGGCTTACTAGCGATCGCCTAACTAGCGGTGGCCGTGAAGTATGAAACAATTGGCCGTGATTTGCTGGGAAGGTTTCAATCACCTCTTTTTGTTGCTCCGTCTCTGGCCAGCAATCGCAAATGCACCATTGCAACAGCCTGGAACTCCCGCACCAAATGAGTATATGCTGAGTGTTGCACGTACTCTTTGAACTTGGGATCTTCAATCAAGCACATGTCCTCAGTGCAGTGCCACTAAGTCTTCAAAAAGAAACCACCAATATTTGCCAAGCACACTGGTCAGCCGCACCAGCATTGTCAAAACCTATTCCCTAAAACACAGGATGCTCTAAGTAAATGCCGGGCATAAAACCGTGCTTGCCCAAGAAGTTGTTTCCTTAAAGTCTTTTATGCATCATACTTCATATTATATGATGAACTTGGTCCCGCACGGTGGTAAGCATCATTGTCTTTCCGCTCCTGCAGCATGCATGCTGGCGCATGCTGACATGTACTGTGATGCGATGTGACAAGAATGTGAGTTCCATATCACCACGACTATGCCAGTCACGCTTTTTGGCCAAAAGCACCCTTAAAAACACAGCTTACCCCTTCATTCACGGACCTGTGGCAAATAGCGACGCGCGTGCCTGTATTGCTTGTTGCCAGACTTCACAGTTTCCATTGTCCACTTCTTGTTGAGCAGGTCCTTCACTTTAGCACAAGACTGACTGAACCAAGCAAACAGAAAAACAAAACAACACGGAAATTTGAACTCAGAGTTATCAGCCTTAGCATGGCTGCAGTCGAAATGCAAAGGAACTACCAATCCATGAGTCTAGCTGTTTAGCCTAAAGTGGCCCTTAGCCCTTACATTCCCGGCCGAACCGGACAAAGAAGAATCGATCCTTGAAGTAGGTGTTGTCGAACTTCAGCTTATCCTGAAAAAAAAAGTGCAAAGTGGAGGCCATTGCTACTAGGTGGAGGCCATCGCTAGTAGGTTGGCGGCCATTGCTAGTAGGGTGAAGGCAATCGCTAGCTTTTTGGAGGCCATTGCTAGCAGGGTGAAGGTCGCCAGGAGGTTGGAGGCCATCGCTAGTCGGTTGAAAGCCATCTCTAGTAGGTTGGAGGCCATTGCTACCAGGTGGAGCTACTAGGTTGGAGGCCATCGCTAGTAGGTTGGCGGCCATTGCCAGTAGGGTGAAGGCAATCGCTAGCTTTTTGGAGGCCATTGCAAGTAGGGTGGAGGCCATCGATAGTAGGTTGGAGGCCATTGCCAGTAGGTTGGAGGCTATCGCTAGTAGAGTGGAG